GATGAGCAATTCTACTGGAATACTTTCCATAAACTCACCAAGAATCTAGGTCATCATCTAAGGACCTTTTCTAATTTGGGACAAGCTACCTAGGAGGTAGGAACCCGGTGCACTTCTGCCCCTAAACCATCCACTTCTTGTGCACGCAGAAATAGATGTTACCCACTTACTGATTAATGCATGCAGGACACTTTCACTCCGTGTAATTAACAGTTCTAAAACCGGCGTATGACTCAATTTAACACAGTCTCACTTAAAACCCAAGAAGGCGCACGGCAATCGCTGACATGCTTGTTCTTCTGTGACGCTTCCAGAGGTACTTAACCGAAACCCAAGGCACCGAGCTATTAGACAGTATGAAAGCATCTCCTTTTATTTCCTACTCTACCTTCAGATCAATTTAATCATCTGCAAAAGAGGAAAGTAGAACCACAGCCTAAATTATGGAAGTGAGACGCCTGCTCTTATTAAGTTTCAACTTTTGACCTTCACATTCAAATGGCAATACCCAGCACAAGAGAAGAAATTATCAGTTATGATCTCATGTTTGTGGGGAAGAGTATGATTATAGAGGAATTTACAGGAAATCAAAAAGGCGCTGCTTGAGAGAATGGAAAACAATAAAACAGTCACAGAGAGGAAATGAATGACACCCAAAGAAAAGCAGAAAGCAAGCTTCCCTGAGCTGGCAGAGACGCTCGCTCCCTCCCGATCAGGCAGGCTCTGGGAGGAACACCAAGTCCCCCAGACAAGCTGCTAGCCAGAAGCTGGGGGAGAGGGGAGCCAAAGAAGCTCAGCTGCACAACCCCTGCTCCCCACCTCACGAAGCCCCAGCCTGGCGTCTTCTATATGTCCAAGGGGCAGAGGGACCTGAGAGAAAGGCTGACATCAGGCTCTCCCACCTCAAGGGGCAGCACAAGAACCTGGAACCAACAATCCAGGCGGGAATGGCTTTTTCTTGGGTCAGTCATTAACCTCCCCATGCCTGTTTCCTCATCTGTAGCATGGGGACAATGAGACCACCTACCCGATATAAATAAAATACCTCTTGAGATAAGGTGACATCCATCAAGTGTTTAACACGGTCCCTGGCACACGGGGAGTCTTGGCAGTTGGCAGGATTGCTACGACACGCTGGCATCTGACTAATGTTCTCATTCAGGGCTTGAGCCATCTGCCTAGTTTGCAGGAGAGGAAACTGAAGCCAGGTGACTCTTCACATCCGTTCTGTGAGTGATGTCTTACTACGTCTCCATTTTACAGATCAAGCAGCTGAGGTTCAGAAAAGTTGAGTGACTTCCTGACGGAAGGTGGGCTGCCTTTAGAACTCAGATGTGCCTGAGTCAATGGTTTTGTTACCCCAAGAGGCCCAGAGAGAAGAGGTGGTGAAAGCATTTAGGACTCAGGGGTCCAAAGACGCAGAGCTGAGTCATAACTTAACGTCACAGAAAGCCCACCTGGCTCCCGAAAACGAGGGTCCTGCCCATCATTCCACCCAGAATCCTTCCTTCAGTCACTCAGGGAGGGCAAAGATCATGACTACACTGGATCCTCCGAGAGGGACGAGGGACGATAGTCACTACAGAGCCTCGGGCCCAGGCTATTAAAACACACCCCTGAGGCAGTAAGGCCAAGATGACATTTCTAAGATAGTTCTACTGCCATCAAATGCCAAGTAAGCCCTTTCTGCTGCTTGCTTTAATAAAGTTGGGAGGTATTCTTATGAACACAGAATCCATCTCAGAGCCTTAGAAATGTCACTAGAATTAAAGTGTGATTGTTCTAAAATGACGGACTAATGATGTATCCCTTAGGAGATGCTGGAGCGCACAAGCCAGCCAGGGTCTGCCAAGCACTCCTCTGTGAGTGACCACACAGGAAAGTTGCACACGAGGCAGCGTATGGGGACACAGGTCCGACCTGAGAATCCAGGGTCCAGTCTTCTGCCAATTGAGGCTACAGACAGGCCAGGAATTTATAACTTTATAACAAGAGGAGGCCGCGGACTTGAAGGACACAGAGCCATCCTGACAGTGTGTGGCCAAGACAGGCACTGGGCCAGGACTGCCGACAGGACCAGGAGAGCCCACCTGGCCTCTAAGTCTCCCAAGGGTCAATACCGACGTTGCTGACAGCCCTCAGGTTGCCGCCTCTGGTCCAACCCTCTGACCTACTACAACTCATCTTGGACTCAACACAACCCAAACAGGTCCAAGATCTGCCACAACATCTGCCCCTTCCAGTCATCCCCCCTCTGTGATTTGCCACCTTGCTGCTCAGGATGGAAACCCAGAGTCACCTTCACCTCTGCTTTCACTCAACTGTCATGGCTAGGTCCTCCCAGGAGCTTTCCTCTGACTGCTGGCTTACCTCTCACATTGGTCACCCCGCCCCCATCACCTGGACCAGCCTAATTGGTAACCTATCCACACACTTACCCACAGCGGACTCTTCAGTCTGAGGCCAAAATTATTTTTTAAATGCAAACCTGATCTTCCCCTTTGCTTAAAACCTCCAAAGCTTTTTCATCTCTCTCAAGACAAAGTGAAAACTGGCACCAAGGCCAGCCTAGCCACGGCCCATCTCTGAGACCACCCTTAGGTTCTACTTCCTGGCTCTGCACGGGCCACCCGCAACCACCACTCTTCTCTTGTCTTTTTGAACAAGCCGTCCAGGGCCTGGATCACTTTCCTTTTCTCTCCTCCTGCATTTCCCCCAGCCAACTCTTACTCATCCTCCAGGTCATAATATCCTCAAGCTCCAAGACAAAGAATATTAGACCTCCCAAACAGACAGAAAAATGTGATCACACAGACTTAAAACCAGCATGAAACATCTGCACATGTCCCAGTCACGGTGCAGCAAAGGCCCTCTTCACCTCTCTTTCATATTCACAAGGGAACCATGAAACAAAGAAATGTTTCCTGCTGTCAAAGAGCAGCTTGTGGGCTGGACAGTGGAGCAGCAGTAAAATGTGATGCTTGGTGAAGCTGATCCACATGAAGGTTCCCACTTCATGTCCTGGAACCTCTCTGAGTATGACAGTCAAGTATGCACCTGGGTCTCACAGAAGCTGGGGCTAGAATACAGTATCAGGGGCCTGTTGGAGATGTACTATCTCTCTTTCTCTTTCTTACTCATAGAAGAAATAAATTAACTTAAACAATAAAAGGTCCGGCCTCAGTGGTTCAGTTGGTAATGTGCCAGACTACAATGCTAAAAGCCACAAGGCCAACCACTATTTCAGATCCCCTAACTGTTGGACCCGAAACACACCAGAGGTATATTTAGGCAGCTATGATCCAGAGGATCTAAAGAGCTGGGGAGAGGGGATCACAGAGAGATGAGACCTTTTCAAATGTACTTCACTCTCTTGCTCATGTGTAGTCTCCACTGTAGCTAAATAATAAATGAAAAACAAATCCATACAAATGCACACATACAAATTTTTTAAAAGGATAAACGTGATGGCTCAGGAAGAAAACTGATAGCACATCAGAATTGGAGGACCACTTCTAGGGCCCACTTCCAGGGAAGAAAGAAGGTAACAAAAAAATACATACAACAGGATAACATACTCGTTAAGACACAAGGGTAACATGAGGAACACATGTCTACCTTTCTGGCAATGGGCTCAGAGATGACATTTATTCCAACACTTTTCATTATCTACTTTCTGTCTGAGCTGTGTAAGTTTGGCTTACCTATCTATGGCAGAAGTTTTCATAAGATTGAAAGTAAAATAAGTAATAAGATAAATTTAATTGATATTTAAGTGATAAATGCTGTTTCAAAAACAAACAAAAAGGGAACCAGCAGTTAGCGTAATGGCTATGTTGCTGGACTCCCACGTAGTCGACCACGGTTCGCGTCCCAGACCCAGTGGCTTAAAACTCACGCCGGGCGTGTGTGCGTGTGTGCCCAAGATCCCGAGAGGAGAATGGAGGAGAGGGGATTGCGGCGTGGCCATCCCCCCTGGGGGGTGATTTCTCGCTTTCTGTCTCTATGTCTCTCTCTATCTGTCTGGCGAGTGCACGCGCCCTATAACGAAAATCTCTCCAAAAAAAAAAAAGAAAAGAAAAAGGAAAGAAAATAGCAAAAGGAACACAGGAACAGAATGAAGAAAGTCAGGGAGACTGTAAAGGCCAATGATGGTGCTGGCAAAAAGCTGAAGAAGTAAAGATTCTGCAATGACTAACTGCAGTGATTGTGTGAATTTTTCATGAGAGGATTAATAAACTGAAAATCTTCATGTGGGGGGACCAGCAGTTAGCGTAATGGGTATGTCGCTGGACTCCCATGTAGTAGACTGAGGTTCGAGTCCTGGACCCGGCGGCTTAAACTCACGCCGGGCGCATGTGTGTGCATGCCCAAGACCCCGAGAGGAGAATGGAGGAGAAGGGATTGCAGCGTGGCCATCACCCCTGGGGG